AAAAAAAAAAGAAGAAGAAGAAAACTTTCTTGATCATATCATAAAATCAACAGCAAACATATGTAAGTGTGAAATTTTAAAAGCATTCCCAATAAAGTCCAGAAAAAGACACCAAGTTATAGCACCAATTCTACTTGTTAAACTTGGACTGGATTGTATAACCAATATATACAGTCATCCACAAAAATACCAAAATAAAACATGAAAAATAAGAAAAGAAATAAAATGATCTTCTAATTAATAATTATAAACAAATCAGCTCACAAAAAATTCAGATGTATAAGGAACTTCAAAAGAATGTGTAGAAGGTCATTATATCAAAATCAGGAATCTAGCCACACAAAATAAGTAACTAATTAGAATATGTAAAGAAAAATATACCATTTGAAACAGCAACAACCTCCAAAATATACTTAAAAAGAGAATTAACAAAAATACACACAATCTTTATCAGATCAAATATAAAAACTTACTGATAGACTTAGGTAAAAGATGTCCCAAATAGAGCAATATACTGCTTATTCATGGTGAACATAATATTGTACAGATGTCAATTCTCCTTAATTTACAGATTTAGTGTCTTACCCAATGTGGTTGGCCTCAAGTCAGTACAGGGGAGGTGGCCCAGCACTTACAAGGAGCCAAGGTAAGACAATGAATGAGGACTGAGGGCAGCATCCACCCCAGAATAGGGGGTCTTACAGAGCGCAACTCCCACTGTCAATCTTGGGAAGGCCCAGGCCCTGTAGTTGAATTTGGGCTCCACCTTACTTCCTATTCTGGATTCTTAGGAAAATGAGGCAATTGGTCTGAGTCTTGCTGAGTCAGCTCAGCAGAAAGGAAAAACATCAAAAAAAGAACTTTATGTGGGTTCTCTGGAAATCCCCCTTCCCTTAGAACAAATGGAAACAGCCAGAGTGCAACTCCTGCTGTTAAGCTGGGAGGGGCAGGTGGGCGTGGCCAGAAGTGGATAACTGTGACTTCTGCCTCACCATGCTGTGAGGGAGGAGGCCTTGGCCTGAGAGGTGTGGCCAGAGGGAGGAGTCCTGGGATTGGGCAGATGTTAAGGTAAGTATCCTTTGTTGGAACTGTGGGGGCACACTCCCCCCAGAACATAAGTGGCTTAACAGAGGCCCACCCTCCTCTTTCCTGCCCTACCCCACTACTAACCATGGTTGACTCAAAGCACAGCTGTTAGGCTTTATGTCCCTCACTTCCTCTTGGAATCTATGGTGTAAAAAGCCTGGTCTGCAGGGGGCAGCCTCAAGTCAGCAGAAGGATGAATCAGGACTGGTCAAAAGTAAAGTTAATATCACAAGTTATAATTTAGACAAGCTCCCATATAACAGAGTACCAAGATGCCCCTGCTTTGTGTGTTCCTAAAGCAGTATGTTCAAGGAAACCAGCAGAGGTGGCTATTCTTGAATCACAACAATCATGCTGAATCAATAAATGGGCACACATGCAGAGATACACTACTTTTATAACTTGTTTCTAGTGAATGTGCTGAATCTTGCCCATTTGTAACAGATGCAATGTGAGAAATCCTGACTAAATTTTTCTCCTTTCCTCACAGTTCACCCCTTCAGGGTCACTCATGGTGCAATCTATGCATTTGATCTTCTGCATGCTCCCTTAGCAAGAATAGCTGGCCCTTGCATCCATAGGCCACAGCAGCAATATTGACTGTATCAACATACTACTAAAACACAAGTGCTGCCTCCCAGTACAGCTAATTTACCATCTTGAGAAAGAATAGTTGCAGGAACAGGTGTCTTACCTGGTCTACAATACCACACGTTATCAGCTAACACTGTTGGATCTGTAGGCTCTACATTTAACAGTATAGGAGAACTCATATTTGGCCAAAATGATAGTACAAATATACCCTTTAAAATAGAAGGTTTATCTGTTCCAGGCCATGCTATTTTCACTTGAGGAGGCCAAGTACTCTTTACACAAGGTGAGACTCGCAACTCTTCTTCTAATACTCTCCCCCAAGGTCCAATCAGGCCTACCCAGCTTACATGGGGGGCTTCTACTTTCCAAGGCCATCCTCATTGTAGTATCTGCTCCTGTTGTAAACAGCTTGGGGCCAGTAAGAGAATATTTCCATTCTTACCATATCCAGGATTCAGGAGATCATCTTTAGAAGTAACTTGCAATTGAATAGGTGCTGCAGCTCTGCAACAGAGCCTCTACTGGAGAGGACCCTCCCTCCAGTCATCATTCTGACTGTTGGACACACAAAAAAATGTCCATCCCTTCAAAGACAGGGAGCTGGCAGACAGCTTCGATCTCCTTTTCAAAAGACCACACATGGCCATAAGGCTACTCAATGCCTTCACAGTGCTTACCTGGTCTGGGGCGCCACAAGGCCATACAAGCAGAAGACCAGTAATTCTCTGACTTTGGCAGTGGTTCCACAAAACCCACCTGCCACCATGTCAGGAGAATCCTCCTCAGGTTTTCTGCCTATCTGCATGTGGCACCTGGCAAGCCATCAACGGTACATCTGCCTATCAGAGGCCTTCCTTCTCGGGTTTATGCAGCACCTGGTGGGCCATCGACCACATGGTCATGCAGTCAGCATGCTGCATTCTTTGATGTAGCCACCCAGCTTCTGGAACTCTATCCAGCCACCTTACCTTAGCCAGCACATCAGCTTCATCATTGCCTAGACTGGCTAAGGGGGAATGCTGTGTGACATGGAAAAGAGTTACTTCCTTTTCCTGTCTTAACTCACATAACTCTTGCCACATGGCTTGCCCCCACAAGGGCCGGTGACTTACCAGCCACCATTGATACTTCCAAATTGAGATCCAAAGGGTCAAACCCTTGAATACAGCCAAGCTGCCAGTACAGATGGTTAATGGCCCAGGCTCACTTTTTTCACCATCCATACTGCTCTTAATTCAGCACATTGGCTACTTTCCCTATACTATTCTCATACCACAAGGTATTGGTTAAGGGCTGGACAGCAACAGCTGTCCACAATGCTTAGGGTCCCATGCTAGGGCCACCTGTATACCAGGCTTGCTCCACAATAGGTCCCTGTCCCTCATGGAAAGGTGTGGTCTCCACCTCCATGGGTACAGGTCATGTCAAAGTTTCCTCCACAACCTCTACTAGACCTAACACAGTTTGCAATTCATTACACAAAGGACTTGTAGACACAGTACTTCTCTGTTCTGTACATGCTTCCCATATAGACAGAGTGGGAGTCTGAGCTACACCAGTTTTAGGGGTGGTTGTCCACATGTGTGGCCATCCTAGAATGGGGTGTGCTGTCCTAACTAGGACCTTGGAAGTTCCTATAATAGCTTCAGTGGCCATCAGGGCAGAATACACAGCTGCTAACTGTTTTTCTATCAGAGAGTAATGCACTTCAATGCCCTTCCAGAGCTGAGACCAGAATCCTATAGACATTCAGAATCAGTCTTGTCTCTGCCACAAATCCAATCCTTACCCTTCCTGGGTTATATGCACATCTAATTCAAAAGGCTTAGTGTGGTCAGCCTGTACTTGCTATATTACCCTCTTAGTAACACGATAAGCTTGTTCTACCTCTTCAGTCCAATCCCAAGGAACTCCTTTCTTTATTAATGCATACAGTGGGCACGCTACTTGGGATATGAGATACAAAAACTCTCCAATACGCCAAAGGTCCCAAAAATGCTTGTAGCTGAGCTACTGTTGTGGGCGAGGGTATGCCTGCGCCTTATCTATAATGGCTCCTGGGATGACTCGTGTCTTACTGGAACAAACAGTTCCCAAGATTTTGATAGACAGCCCAGGTCCTTGCACTTTAGTTGTGTTCACAGCCCACCCACATTGTCCCAAATGGCCTAGCAACACTGGAACTGCTTGGGTTAAACCTGCAAGGAATTCAGGTTAGTAAGTTAGTAAGGAATAAGGTTAGTAAGGCATCATCAATGTAATGAAACATTGTAACCATGCTGGGCCCAGTCCATTTGGCTAGGTCCCCAGCCACCAAACCATGACAGATAGTTGGGCTATTCAGATAACCTTGGAGCAACACTCGAAAAGTTCATTGTCTTCCTTCCCAGACAAAGGCAAGCTGATCCTGGCTATCAGCTGAGACTGGGAAAGAGAAAATAAAGCACTTGCAAGGTCCAGTACACAATGACAAGTTTCCAGCTGAGTCTTCAGCTGATCCATTAAGTAATGAACTGAAGGAAAAGCCATGTGCAAAGAAGGCACTACTTGGTCAGTTCCTGATAGTCCACAGTCATTCTCTAAGTACCATCAGGTTTTTTCATTGGCCACACCAGGGCATTAAAGGGCTGTGCACGGGATGAATGATGCCAACCTTTTGTAACTGCAAGATAGTGGCACTTACCTCCGTATGTCCTCCTGGCAAGTGATACTGTTTTGCATATCCCTGTGACACAGGCTTTACTGCCTGGATCTACAGGCAGAATTCTCCAACTGTTGTTTGCAGATGCAAAGCATAAAGCACATCTATACCCAAGATGCACTCAGCTACTGGGGACACATACACAGCACATACACAAGGGGGCAATCTTCCAATGCCCAGTGGTAAAGACACAGCTTTGACTTTAATAGTCTGTCCTCCATAGCCATCAACATTCATTATGGCCCCCAGAAACTTATCTGGGTTGCCATATATTAGGTTACATTCTGCCCCGGCATCCACCAACATTAACACACACTGCACATTTATCATCCACTCCTAGGTCACACAACAGTATGAGCCAAGCAGCTAGGAGTTCACAACAGGTCATGCAAGAAGACGCACAAGTTCTCCCAACTCACCCTCAGGGTCATCATTGTCCTCAGCTTCAGAAGCAGGGGTGGCCTCTTGCTGTACTTTAGTGTCCAGCATGTCTGTCTTTTCTGTTGGTTCTCAAAGCCATGCTGCACCATGGAGTGCCTGATCTATGTTGACTCACAGCACAGTAAGTAGCAGCCAGTACATCCGGCCAGCCACACACTGGGACTCTTCATCTTTCACCATGGAGCTCAATTCTCTGAGAGCTTTCTCCATGCTCTCAGGGATCCATCCACTTGGTACCACACTTCCAGTGGAACCACAGGAATGCTGCCACCAGGTACCACATGCTCAAGGCAGCCACTTTCCTCCCCCTCCTGAGGGGCTTGTGGCTCCCTTACCTGCTCATCCTGCAGAAACTATGCCAATTATCAGGCAGGAATCTCTGATCCTTCTGCCCCTTCCTGAGCAGGTCATGAGTCAGGTAATCGAAAGAAGATACTAGCAGCTTTATGGAAGGTAGACATAATTTATTCTTCAGATATGAGCTTCACAGACATGCTTGATTCTCAGACAGAAGCTCAGGCTCTACTCCACTGACCCTCTATGCTCTACCCTCCTTCCATGCTCCACTGACCAGCAGTTCAGAGCAGATACCTTTATGCTCTTAGTACACAATAGCAGCCACAAGCTAAGCTTTATATAATCACAACAATCATGCTGAATCAGTAAATGGGCATAGATATGGAATTGCACTACTTTTATAACTTGTTTCTAGTGAATGTGCTGAATCTTGCCCATTTGTATCAGGTGAAAAGCAAGAGATACTGACTAAATTTTCCTACTTTCCTCACAGGGGTGCTCAGTCCACTGCAGTGGGAGGAGAGTCCCCCTCCTGTACTTATATTCTCTTCGGGGATAGATGCCAGAATTTGCCTGCTGCTGTGACACCGAGCACTTTTAAGGCACCTCAGGAAGCCTCATCTACTACCAATTCTACTGCAGCTGTTTCAGATGAAGTTGCCAACAGCCAAGATATGAAAGTTCAAATTCTTTGCAGAGAATTGAGATCATCTGCAAAGACCCTTTAAACAAGAAAGTGGTTCTGTTGGTACAGTTCCTGCTGCAGAAGTATCAAAAGAAAGAGCCAATTACAAAGACAGACATGCTGAAGTTTATGATCAAAAAGTACAAATATCACTTCAATGAGGTCCTCAGAAGAGCCTCTGAGCACATGGAGCTGGTCTTTGGTGTTGATTTGAAGGAAATGGATCCCATCAGTCTTTAATCTGCCCTTGTCAGCAAACTAGACCTCACCTTTGATGGAATGATGAGTGAGAAAGAGAATATGCCCAAGACTGGCCTAATGATTTTGCTGAATGTGATCTTCATGAAAAGCAACTGTGCCCCAAAGAGAAGATCTGGGAAGTGCTGAATATAATTGGTGTATATGCTGATAGGAAGCACTTCATCTATGGGGAGCCCAGGAAGGTCATAACCGAAGATTTGGTGTAGCTAAAGTACCTAGAGTACCAGCAGGTGCCCAACAGTGATCCTCCAAGCTATGAATTCCTGTGGGATCCAAGAGCCCACGCTGAAATCAGCAAGATGAGAGTCCTGGAGTTTTTACCCAAGGTCTGTGGTACTGTCCGTAGTGCCTTCCCTTCTTGGTATGAAGATGCTTTGAGAAATGAGGAAGAAAGAGCTCAAGCCAGAGTTTCAGCCAGGGCCCGTGTTATTGCCATGGCCAGCGCATGTTCCAGGGCCATGTCCAGCAGCTTTACCCATGCTAAGTGAAATCTGCGTCTGATTCTTTACTCTTTGGTTGATAAGGTCTGCCAGTGTCCTAATAAAGAAGAGCCACAGTGGGGCGGGAGGGAATAAGTGTATATCATCATTGTGTTACTGTTGTATATTGATAACTTAGAGTTTTACCTTTTTTTTTTCTTTTTTGTAGGTTATATTTCAAATGTTGAAGTCTGAAAAAGACTGTTTTCTTTGTCGAAGAAAAGTACAATCAAAATACTAAGTAGTGGGTGGCCAGAGTGAATCTGGAAGGAACACAGTGTATATTATCTTTGAGCTCCTATTCTATATTTGTAATATCTCAAATGATGATCTGTTCTTTGTTTTATATTTCAAATTTTATTTGTTTTAATAGGTTTCAATACCTTCAGAATAGGTTTATTAATGACTTTGGCTACAAATTTATTGCTGTTTAATAGTTTTAAGAGTAGGAGTTTTATTATTTTGTTAAAAAAAAAAAATATTGGGAAACTTTTTTTTAATATATATTTAGTGAACCAGAACATGAAAATATGGCATTGGAATAAGCATTTCCTTGGAAATGTGAAAGAATTTAGCAGTAAAATTTGGAAGATTAAGAAATGGAAAAAGAGTAAAAGATGTTCAGTTCTTGTTTTCCTTTATCCATTTTAGCCTGTTCTATAGAAATAAAAGATACATACCTGGATTTGCTTAGCTTACTAAAGAATGCAGAAAAATAAAATGTTTATAAACTAGAATTTATGCTCACTGACTCGTTCATTTGCCAAATATTAATTGAGCTTTTGCTTTTTAAAAGTCATTTTGTTAGAAATGGGGAAAGTAGGATACAAAACACCAGCCCCTACTTAGAATTTTAAGTCAATGAATAGTAATCATCCAACTGTGGAAGACTCCCCTACGTACAAATTAAGTAACTCATCCTCAAATGGAGGAAATTTTATTTAGTCTTACTTGATAAGTAGCATTATGGGCTAATTTGGTATTAATTGTTCCCAAAAAGCTGCATATTCACCCTAATTAATAAAAAATAAATCACCCTAGAGAAGAGGGTTTTATTATCTGTGGTAAAAGCAATCATATCATAACTGCTTAAAGACCCAATATTTTCCAATCATTCTGCTAAGTGCTTCATATTCATCACATAAATACCAACAGTCCTACAAGATAGAGCTTATCAGTCATAATTTGTAGAACTTGTAACTTTCTTACATTCGCATGGCTGGTAAGTGACAGTGTTGGGACAAGATCCCTGGTCTAATCTGGTCAGAATTTGTCTATAGCCCTAACCTGAGGCAGACCTTTTCTCTCTTATTTTACTATAATTCTCACTACGCCAAAGTATATTACAGATAATTATAATAGAAGAAACTCCAGCCTAAGTACTAAAAACAGGCCTAAAGAACGAAGATGAATATGAGAATAAAATTTAAAGTGGGCATTGTCTCTGAGCTTCATTTTCTGAGAATCTTTCTGTCCCTAGCCCCAGGTTTCTTTGAAAGTAGACTCTACCCAAGTACTGGCACATGAGTAGTGCTAGCATGTTCCCACATCACAGCATCTTTCCCCTGGTATTCCTCAGTGTTCCTTCATGTCCAAACTTGAACCTCACCTGCCTTCTCTGAAGGCTGCACTCCTGCATACTGTGATACAGGTGACCCAGAGCCACTTGCCCACTCCTTGACTTAGAGCATTCCAACTCTCTGTAAATGTCCTGTCCTTTCAATGGAAACCCTGACAGTGAAGTTAAGATTTCTGATTACCACAAACCCCATTTCACCCCCATCTCTATAACAGTCTCAAAGTATTTTCCAAATAAGCTAGTGATTAGAGTCTGATTTCTGATTTTGCACAGAATATACTGGTTCTCGGGATATAGCTGAAGCTCGAGAGAGGGTTTTGTAAACAACCCAAATATTGTCAGTAGGATTGTAAAGGGATGTGTTATTTGAGACTGGCTCCTGAGCAAATACACCAATGGGTGAGCCTACCTAGATGTTCAAAAACAAAAGCCACTTTCATAAGTTGCAGAGGAGAAAAAACCATGGAAAAGCACTGTGTAGGAAACATCTAGCGAAGCTGAATTCCTTGATCCTCCCCCTCCACCCTCCGCCCTGAGACCTTCTAAGAGGAAAAAAATGTTTTCTTGGCAGACATACTATCTCTGAACAGTAAAGACAAAAATAATTCACCATCTTTCTGTTGCCTTTTATCTCAGTACTTGCCCCACAGTAAAATCCTGGTTTTTCCTTGTGCCTACTGGCACCTGTGAAAATGTCCTGCACATTCAGTCATGTCGAGGTTTGCAGAATTCGTAAGTTAAGACTAACCATGCACAAACAGAAAGAAGCACATTCTCATTTCATTGAAGCTCGGTGCAGTGAGATCAGTACATAAAGGTGCTACCGAGTGGAAAGATTTCACTGACATTTTTGCAAGGTCCTTTTGAAAATTAAACGTGATTCTGTATTTGAAAGCATCATTTATTTGGGAGTGTGGCAAAGATGGAGAATTGTAAAGCAAATTTGCCTCCTTAGAAACTTCACATAGAAGTAAAGAGGGCTGTTTCCATAAGAAATTCTAATAGTTGATCTTTTATCAAACACCTACTATGACATTTTATGGGAGAGACTGCAAGTGTTCATCCATATGCTGTTTTGCTCTCCTTCCTGGGCTGATGGAAGACAACATTCCCGGTCCACCTGTAGTTAGAAAGGATCATATGATTGCCCTTGCCACTAGAAATATGAACCATCTAGATCCCATGTTGAAAGGGGGTGCCACATGTTGGAAGCAGCCTGTATCCCTGAACTACCTGTCAGTGGAAACCCCTGCCTATCCACATCAGATTTTATTTGTATGACAAATGAACTTTTCTCATTTCAAACCATTAAGTTGCAGTTTTGCTATTGTATCAGCTAGCACTTACATTATATGATTAATGCATGGCTACTATTTTTGTGGTTAGATGTTTTTAAATATTTTAATTACAAAGTAATTGTACACATAATTTTGTTGAAAAAATTCTAATACAGATAAATCACAATCTCCTCTTTTCCTCAAAATTCAGCCTCCTCTTCAGAGGTAAACCTAATTAATAATCTCCTATGTGTCATTTTAAAACTGATCCAAGGCTTTTTTCATATATAGATGTGCTAAAAATGTATACTGAATTTTAAAATGGGTAACGATGTACATGTTGTTCAACCTCTTGACCTTTTTGCTAAATAAAATGAATGCAGGATATTTCCAAGACAGACCATATAAATCCACCTCACTCTTTTTAATACTCTCTAGAATTCTAAGGTATGTTTGCACAATAATTAATTTAACCATTGTCCTCCTAAAGGGTGTATGCTGTGTATCATTTACTGCTATGATTACTAGAACTGAAATGAACAGCTCTGAACATGAAATTTTGGGAAAATATTCGTGTTTTCTCTTAAGAAAGACAGCAAATTGCAAACTGGATTAAAGTAGGAAAAGTGTAAAGATAGAAAATATTCACAAATACTGCTGAAGTGTGTTCCAAAAATGCTATACCAATCCATAGCTTCTTAAATTAATGGGCATGAATGCTTTACACTCTCACAGACATTTATTTTATCATTCTTTTACATTTTGGTTAAACTTTGGGGCGAAAGACATTGTCTTGTTATTTTAAGTATGTAGAGCTGGTCTTTGGCTTTGAATTGAAGGAAGTCTTGTTATTTTAAGCACGCAGAACTGGTCTTTGGCTTTGAATTAATAGAAGTCTCCTTATGTCCTTCTCAGCAAGCTAGACCTCCCCAGTGAAGGAAGTCTGAGTAGTAATTAGGGGTTACCCAAGACAGGACTCCTGATGACTCTCCTGGGTATGATCTTCATGAAGGGCAAATGCCCCTCTTAAGAGGAAATCTGGGAATTCCTGAAAATGATGATGGTGGTGCAGACTGAAAGGAAGCGTTTCATCTATGGAGAACCAAGAAGCTCATTATCAGATTTGGTGCAGGAATAGCTCCTGGAGTACCAGCATTTGCCCAATAGATAACTTCCATGCTAGAAATTCCTATGGGTTTCAAGAGTCCAGAAAGATGAAAGTCCTGGAATTTTGGGCCAAGATCAATGATACCATCCATAGTTCTTTGCCAGATCTGTATGAAGAGGCTTTAAGAGATGAGGAGGAGAGAGCAAGAGTGAGACCGGCACTACTGCCATGGACAGTGCATGCTCCAGGGCTATGTCCAACTGCTTCTCCCGCCTGTAATGAGTAAAAGCTAGGTTTTTTGCTTTGTGGCTGAACAGAGCAGTCAACATTCTAAGCAGTGGAAAACTGGTATTGAACTAGAAAAACACAATATATATCATTTTGTCTTCCTGTTTTATATAGTATCTAGGAGATCTCCCTTCTTTCTCTCCTTCCTTCCTCCCTCCCTCCTTCCCTCCCTCCTTTCCTTCCATTCATTCTTTCATAGTTTTCTTTCTTTCTAGTTAAATTCTAAATGCTATTCCTTTTAATATAGAATATTTTAAAACTTCAGAATATAAATACAGGCATACCTTGCTTTATTGTTCTTCCTTATATTGTGCTTCACAGATATCACTTTTTTTTTATTCAAATTGAAGGTTTTTGGCAACCCTGCATCGAGCAAGTCTACCAACACCATTTGTCCAACAGCATGTGTCCATTTGTGTCTCTGTGTCACATTTTGGTAATTCTCACAATATTTCAAACTTTATTATTATTATTATATCTGTTATGCAGATCTATGATGAGTGATCTTTGATGTCACTATTGTGATTGTTTTGGAGTGCCATGAACTGCGCCCATATAAGACAGTGAACTTAATTGATAAATGTTGTGTGTGTTCTGGCGGCTTCCCCCCAGCTGTTCCCCCACATCTTTACCTCTCCTCAAGGCTCCCTATTCCCTGAGACATAAGAATATTGAAATCAGGTCAGTTAATAACCCTACAGTAGCCCCTAAGCATTGAAGTGAAAAGTCATATGTCTCTCACTTTAAATAACAAACT